TTTGCAGATAGCTAGCAGAGGGGTTGTTTGTGGAGTTACCTACTCTGCCTGTGCTCTGTGTTAACATTAATGTCTATGTCCTATAGAATTACTAAACATCAATAAGCTAGTATGGCTATCCAAGGTTCATTGCACTTTAATTGATGGGATCATTTACAGTTATTTTATTTATATAGCACCAGCAAATTCCGTAGCGCTGTACAATGGGATATATATGTTATTGGCGCAAAACAAGAAAACACTGCCGGTTAAGTGCAGGGACATATGATTTGATAATTACAGCACCATTATATAAAATGGCACAGTCACATTTTTTTTCCTTGTAGTGGTTATGATACCAAGAGTACCCTGTGTTTGGTAATTTGTGCTCTTTCACCTGCACTTGCTTCTGCATTTACAGTGATTTGTCCCCACCGGATGCTTATGGCTGTGACGAAATTTGGCTGCTCTAGTCGGATTCCAATCCCCTCGACCATTTATTGACTTAGAGCGTCAGCTGATCGTGCTCAGCCAATCTATTAAAATTTATGCGTAGACAAATGCAGATAATTTAGAGTAGCCAGGGCGGATAGCAAAACTCTGCATATATAGACTCCATGCACCATGACCGCTTCCAATGGCTGAAACCTTTTACGGATTATACTCTCAAACGCCATAAACAAAAAAAGGATTGTGGGTAAATTAGTTTAGCAACTGATTTTTTTTTTATCCCTTTATAATCTCAAAAGTCCTGCTGAGTGAGAGTGGTCCATTTCATATAATCTTTTTTAAACCAATATATTGTTTGTACTGTATACTGTCTTTTCACATCTCTCATGAGATCCACTATTGGTTACTATAGGTGTAAAAGACTAAGTACAAGCCCATTTTAACTTTTTAGCATTCAACACCTCAAATTTGGGCATTTTTCCCAAGTATGTATTTATTTCCATCCATAATTTATTTTTAATTTTTTTTGTCTTCAAGTTTACCTAAAGTTGTTTCTATATTTTAAATGAAGTTTATAAACCTACCTTGTTGAGCTTGCTTTCCCATATTTCTTTGTGAATTCATATTATTTTTCTACATGGCAAACACTTTGTTCCCATCAGCCCTACTGGTTACCTTACACTGGTTACATCTAAAAGCAAATGGCCTCATCCAACATTCTAGCTTCTAGCCTAGTAAAAGGCTCTTTATGATGTAATTCATTGACTGTGATATCATAAAAAGTTGTGTATTTGAAATGCTGATGTACCGAATAGCTCTCTAGTGAGAAAAAGGACTCATGGCAGCTGTGGTTCTGAAACGGCTAGAAAACTACCTTTATGTCACTTCTATTGTAGATGGTTAATACAAACAATTACATTGTGTACTTTAAATCGGCACTGTCATTTGTGACAGGGTTATTCGCTAACATGTGAATTGTTGGGAATTCAAAGTGAAATTTTAGGGTAAAATAGTCCAAACTAAAAAGGATAGCTGATCTTTCAATAGTGTATTACTGATTTAACAATAGACGCTTCAGACAAAAGGAGGGTAAAGTGTATTACATATCCTGGAAAAGATACTGTAAATCAGCCAGTGATATGGCTCTTGTCCGACACCCCTAGATCTCCGGTGATCACATATGGTAAGGCATGAGGAGTTATTCAATGGCTTCTGAGCTAAATAATGAAAGTTAGAGGCTTGTAGTCTAAGAGAAATTGGTTTCTCCTTTTCCATGCATAGAACGTATACACCGAATAAAATGTATATTGGCATTAAAAAAAAAAAAAAGATAAAATACATTACAAATATGAGATTGGATAGAAAAGACAGATATTCTACAATAAAATCTAGTAGTTATGGTTATAAGATTTATTTTAAGTGTTCCTATTAAAAGTGAACTATCAATTTCCAGGGTTTTCAATATAATGTTTACTTATTCCTGTATTCAACAAGTGTGTACTTGTGAGGGGTGAAAAATAAAATGTAAATGTAGAGTTCCCACCTCAATATCCTGAAACTGGGTGCCTCCATCTTAGGTCCCTGTCAATCATTGTTATATATGTTGTCTGTTTTCAGCATAGCGAGAGCATGCAACAAAGATAAGAACTCAAGCAATGCTTTACATTTTGCAATGTTGCCCTGGCATAGCTGTGTTTGGTTTTTCCCTTAAATATTTTATTTAGTAGTGATACATATTACCACAAGACTGCTTGCAAATGTATAGATTAAAAGTTATTTCCATTTTATTTTTTGTTACTTCCTCAGTCTTTGTTACCATTAAATAATTAGGTTATTTAGTGGTAGGTTGGCTGTGCATGTTGCTGCCCTATCTATTCCCAGTGGTCATGTTACAGGACAATGGGTTCTTAGAGAAATGCACTATTCTGGAGAGTGATCTCAGACGTTCTATCTGGAATCTATTGAAGCCACTACCTGAACATGGTGGTCACAGCCCTGAGTGCTCCTATCACAACTGGGACTACTACTGCCTTCACTTTCCACATCCTTTCTAGCTCTTCTTTCAGGCCTTGGTATTTGTCCATCTTCTCATGTTTTCTTCCTGATGTTTTAGTAAATTGGCAGTTCCACATCCATCAGTACTGCAGTCTTCTGTTTCTTGTCTATCACCACCAGGGTCAGCCCAAGACATTGTGCTGCCTGTGTCCAAGGATGAAATCCTGCCTTGAACCAAAAGCAACATCCATTGTTATGCACTGTGTGTGTGTTGTGACTGCAATGTCTGTTTGTGTAGTAGATGCAGTGTGTGTATATCATATTCTGTGTGTAGTGGATGCTGCTTCTGTCATGGTTGTTGTGTGTATTGAATACACAGTGGAGGCAGTGTGTAGTGGATGTAGGGTATGTGTGGTGGATGCAGAGTCTAGTGGATTAAGTGTCCGTATACATAGTAGTGTTTGTGTGTAGAGTTGGATAAATGCTGGTGGGGGTGAGCAGTAGGGATCGACCGACATTGACTATCTGATTATCCGGTAATCTGTGAACTTTCCGGTACCGATATTCTGTACATTTACCATTAAAAAAAAAAAAAAAAACTATTTATACACAAATCTCCTGTTAACCGAACATGTTTTATTTTTGATTTATTTTTGAAAATCTTTTTTTTATTATTAAAGGACCACTCTAGGCATCCAGACCACTTCAGCTTATTAATGGGTTAAGCCTTCCCCCAAAGCCTCTAGTGGCTGTCTCATTGACAGCCACTAGAGGCGCTTGCGTGCTTCTCACTGTGATTTTTCACAGTGAGAGCA